AAAAAAATTTGTCGCCTTTAATAATTTATAATAATAATAATAATTATTATTATAATTCTAATAATAATAATAATATCTTGGACTTTTCATTTTTTTATATAAAAATTTTTAATTTTCATTTTTTTGCGTAAAATAGAAGGCAGTGAATAAATTTCAAAAAAAGGTTAATGTTTTATAATTAATTTGTCGTTACAAACAAAATTAAAAAAAAAAAAAAATTTTCAATCAGTGACAGAAAATATCGACCTTGACAGTCATTTCTATCATTCAATGAAACTCTCGAAGAGTATGCGCGTATTTTGTGACTCCATGGTACACGCAACGAATAAAATTCAGAGTCTGCCGTGCGGTAATACGGTCAGACCGTCGATAATGTAATGAGTAATGACGTTGTGCAAGCGTTAAGAAATATTACTTGTAAGATTAAAATGCTGACTGAGTACAGCCACCTGACAAACCTAAACCGTATAAATATTCAATGGCTATATATGCAGAAGCCTTCGACCTTTCAAAAAAAATAAAATAAAATAAAAATAAGAAAACTCAGGAAAACAATTTTTAATTAAAAAAACGACTTTATTAATTCAATCGACTCTTTAGATATTTAAATTTATATATTTCATTTCCTGTACTATTTACACTATTAACTTGTTATTTAAATATAAACTCGCCAATTAACAACTGGTTGAATGAAGATATATCGAAAAATATTTTTTTTATAATTTAATTTATATTTATATTTAATTTATAATCTATAATTTTTATAATTTTTATTTTTAATTATTTCATATCCTAATGAATTTATTATATAATACGAATAATTCTAATTAAATAATTAATTATATTTTAATATTTATTTTTTTGATTCCCGTGTGGAAAAAGCCACGATCTTGCCCTCAAGAGTTCGGGGCCCCCGGCGGGGGCCCATGAGGGCTGATCCATATGGCGAATCCATGAGGGGCACCGTAGGGGCCCCGCATGGATCGCCCTCATGATCGATTAGCAAAATTTTCTAAGTCCAAAAATCAAATATTTTTTTATCACCAAAAAATTAATGTTTATAATGATTCACAACAATGAAAAACGCGTTTTTAATTAAAATATATTTTCACTTTTTTTGAAAATAACACTCACACTTATGGCGAATCCATGAGGGGCACCGTAGGGGCCCCGCATGGATCGCCCTCATGATCGATTAGCAAAATTTTCTAAGTCCAAAAATCAAATATTTTTTTATCAACAAAAAATGAATGTTTCCAATGATTCAAAACCACGAAAAACGCGTTTTTAATAAAAATATATTTACACTTTTTTGAAAATAACACTCACACTTATGGCAAAATAGATGAGGGCCACCGTAGGGGCCCGCATGGATCGCCCTCATGATCGATTAGCAAAATTTTCTAAGTCCAAAAATCAAATATTTTTTTATCAACAAAAAATGAATGTTTCCAATGATTCAAAACAACGAATAACGCGTTTTTAATAAAAATATATTTACACTTTTTTGAAAATTCGCCTGAGATGATTCATGATAATAATCATAAAGCATATAATTAATTATATTTTATAAATTGCATTTGATTGGAAAATATAATTTAATATCTTAACTTTAACTAAATGATGTTAAGCACTTTTCTTTGTTAGGTATTTTTCAAGTTTAAATAGCATCAAGAAGTTAGCATTCATTTTGAAGTAGCGTGCGTAGCGTAGTTGGTAAAGCGTTAGACTCATAGTCCGTAGGTCGTAGGTTCGATTCCCCCCATGCGTTAGATTTATTTATTTCTCAGGTTTGCGTTTAATCATTAATTCTATGTATGAATTAATTGAAAAATGAAAATATTCGTTAATAGTATGCATAAATTACATATTTTTTAATTTTTTAATTAATTAATTTATTATTACTTTTAATTATATCCGACAGTTAATTAATTAGAACGTTAATTAATAAATTCAATTTGAGTAAGAATTTAATTTAAAATTGAATAATTATTAAATAAATACGTTATTTATTCATAACTTAAGCTTATTTATTATTAATTAACTTTTATTATTAATATTATTGATTAAAAAACATTATGGCAAACTTGAGGGCAAGATGAGGGCAAACGTGAGGGCCCATAAGGGCGCCCGTAGGGGCACCCTCATGGATCGCCCATGCGGGCGCCCTCATCGATGAGCATGTCGTTTCCATGAGGGGCCCCTATGGATCATCCATATGCGGCCCTCATGGCATGAGGGCGATCCATAAGGGCCCCCGCTGGGGGCCCACATCACTTTTCCACACGGGTTAAGTTAATTTAAAAAATAAAAATAATTAAAATTTATTTAACAAAAAAATACATTTCTTAAAGTTAAAAACAAATAAATTTCTTCCGGAAAAATACTGGATAAACAAAATTTATTATATCGTCAAAAACGACGTTGCGATACAAACGTTTGTATATGACGATTTAATAAATTTATTTATAGTTTTTTTTCCTGAAAAAAAAAAATTATTTGCTCTAAAATTTTATCACTGGATGCACGAACTAAAGTTTATTTTGAATTAAAGTTATGACAAAAGTATGAATTAATAATTTTTTTTAATATCTAATATGAATTTATATTTTTATTAAATTATTCATTAAATTTTAATTTTTTTTATTAGTTTTTAATTTAAAAAAATAAAATAATTAAAATTAAGACTTTTCTATTGAATGTAAACAAAAAAAAGTATATAATTATTTTAATGTTATTCGTCGAAATGAACAATTATAACAAAATTCGAATAATATTGAAACAATTATATTCCTATTCTATGGATAAAGAATTATGCAATAATGTGCAATTAATTCAGTTGCATGACCTTAACATCTACGTGCCTCGAAGAATTTATACTATGAAAACTATTTTAGACCTTTTTTTCTACCTCCTTGAGATAAAAATAAAAAATTTTAATTTTCAAATAAATTTTCCGTCTCGTTTTAGAAATAAAAAAAAAAAAATAGAATAAAAAATTTTATCGAAAGTTTTTGAAAAAAAAAATAAGTTTAAAATATGAAATTCTATATCATGATTGATAGTTCCAAGGGAAGTGAATTATAAAGATATAAATTTCTTTTAAAATCATTTCGATTTTTTTTTTCTCAACTAATCGATACAATCTAAAGTCTATTTTGTAAAAATTGTATAATCATTGGCTTTGACCTACAACATCAGGGTAAACGAGTTGACGATTAAAAAGCTATAAAATATATTCGTTTTTGTCACTTCTCTATTTTGCAATTTCTTCCTTATTTCACTTTACTTCCGATTTTTTTTTTCTTAATATTAAAATATCCATCTTATAAATATTTAAATAAAAAATATATTTAAACTTAAAATCATTTCAGACATTTATAAAAATTTTACGATTCAATTAATATTCAATTTAATTTAATTTAAAAAAAAACAAATTTAAATAATTACATTCACAATTAAAAAAAAACTTGTCCTTTCTCATGATAATTAAATGTTAAAATTATAATTAATTTCTGCAAAAAATTCAACAATTTAAAATAATTATCCATAATAGAATAAAATTTTATTTTGATGGAACTTTTAATTGGTTAAAAAAAAAAAAAAAAAGAAACAACAGTACTGATATGTAATTTTTGTTTTGTTTTGATAACCTAGTCCCGACTATCAGCATCGCATAATTTGTTAAAAAATAATGAAAAGTAACAATTTTCAGATACGAAATCATTAATTAAACCTTATTAATTTCAACAAAAAATCCCAAAGAAACAATTTTTTTTGTAAATAAAAAAAAAAACTATAAAAAATAAATCCAAGAAATATTAAGTTGATTTAAAAAAAAATTTAACGAAAAAAAAGAAGCAAAATCATAAATCAACAATAATCTTTTTTTATAAACGAACTTTTGTTTATACACTGATGAATCAGTATATCGTCGTAAAGTTCAACGAAAAAAAAAATCAAAACATTAATAAAGGACCGCGGATAAAATTTGGCCCGAGGAAATAATAAATGATTACAGAATTTTATTTACAATTATAATCAAATGGCAAAGGTTTAAAGTGTTAATCATAAATTGATTTCTTTGATGATTAACATTCTGTATGTGTATGTAGAAAACAAAAATCATGCATTAATTAATTGTGAAATTTTTTTTCTCCCATTTCATTTAATCATTCATAAAACTAATATCTCACACCTTGAAATTCAATAAAAAAAAATTGTTATGAATTTTTAATTTAAGAAAAAAAGCTAATTTTTAAATAAAATATATATTATGTTATTGTTATTAATAAATTTCAAAAAATATTAAGTTCCGGATTTTTCTTCCTTTTTTTTTTATTTGCAAGAAATAAAAGTCCACAGTCAATCAAGATAATTTAAAGACATTAATAACTATAATAATTCATTCGAATTAATTATTAACAATTAATTAATTTAATAAAAGAGAAAATTTAATTAATTAATAAACAATTAATAATGAGATAAATATATTATAATACAGTGTGACCTCGATGAGTCAAACTCAGGGAAAATGTCTTAAAAAGTTCCATGATTTAAGTTAAAGAGAGTCTAATGTATTTTTATTATTATTAAAAACAAAAAAAAAGTTGAATAAATAAATAATACAGTGGAATCTTAATAATTTGAAATTCAAGCAAAATATTTTAAAATTCGAGATAAAAAGTTTCCAGTTTATTTATTATTATTGAAAAAAATTATTAGAAATAAAAAAAAGTCCGAATATTTTTTATAAATCAATAAAATCAACATATTACAGTGAAACCTCGATAAATGAAAATTCAAGAAAAGATCCTTATAATTTAAATTAAAAAGGTTTCAGTTGTACACATATTATTATTGAATATTTAAAACAATAAAATTAAAAACTTTGTTAATCATGACAAATAATTAAATAAAAATAAGTACAAAAGTTTTAAAAAAATGGTTAAATTTAATAAAAATAGCTCACTAAAAAAGCAAATAAATTAAAAGTCCTATTTTCATTAACTTATTTATTGTTTTGATAAATGAAAATAATTCCATTACGAATTTATTAAATATATAGAAGTAATAACATTATTTTTTTTTCTAAATATATAATGAAAAAATGATCTTATAATTTTTAATTAATCACTGTAATTATTTATTTAACCGTACATGTTTGTTTTTCTACTATACAAATGATTTTTTTAATGATGTGACTTACTTTTTATCACACATCTATCGATCAATTTCACCAAATACAACATCAAGTGTACCAATTATGGCGACAATATCAGCGAGAAAATGTCCAGGTCCAATTTTCTCAAGACATGCCAAATGTGCAAAACCTGGTGCTTTAATTTTACATCTATACGGTTTACTTGTACCATCACTCACAAGATAAACGCCAAATTCACCTTTTGGTGCTTCAATTGCCGTATAAGTTGAGCCAGGTGGCACTTGAAAGCCCTGAGTAAAAAGCTTAAAATGATGAATCAATGCCTCCATACTCTCTTTCATTTCCTTTCGACTCGGTGGCATTATTTTTGCATCATCAACTCTCACCTCACCGGCGGGCATTTGATTTAAACATTGCAAAATTATTCTCAACGATTGACGCATCTCTTCCAATCGAATCACGTATCTAAACAGAAAAAAAAATTATTTAAAAGAAAATTAAATTTTTAAATTTCAAAACACTCACCTATCATAACAATCACCATTAGCACCTATTGGTACATCGAAATCAACTAAATCATATGCATCATAGGGTTGAGATTTTCTCAAATCCCATTTGATACCCGAACCTCGGAGCATAACTCCACTAAAGCCAAGATTGAGAGCATCTTCTGCTTTAATAACTCCAATGTCCTTAGTTCTTTGAATCCAAATTCTCGAATCAGTTAACATATCTTCAACCTCATCGATTCGTTCAGAATATTTTGAGGCCCAATCATAAATATCGTCCATAAGACCAAGTGGCATATCCAAAGCAACTCCACCAGGACGAACGTAAGCCGCATGCATACGTGCACCACTTACACGTTCATAAAATTCCATTAATTTCTCACGTTCCTCAAATAACCAGAAAAATGGTGTAATTGCTCCCACGTCCAATGCATGTGTACCAATACCCATTATATGATTCAATATACGTGTTATTTCACCAAAAAGTGCTAAAAACAAATATTTTCAAATTAATAAAAATTATAAAATCAAAAAAATTATTAATAATAATTTTAAAAAATACTTCTTATGTATTTTGCACGAAGTGGAATTTCAATATTCAAAAGTTTCTCAATTGCCAATGAAAAACATTGCTCGTTACACATCATTGAAACATAATCCAAACGATCAAAATAAGGCAATGCTTGCATATAAGTTTTATATTCAATAAGCTTTTCTGTTCCACGATGTAATAGACCAATATGAGGATCGGCACTACGACAAATTTCACCCTCTAATTCCAATACTAAGCGTAATACACCATGAGCTGCTGGATGTTGAGGACCAAAATTCAATTTAATATTACTTATTTTACTTTCAGCTGGTTTAATATTTATATTTATATCTGGTGGTATCCAATTTGATGGCATAGGCGTATAACAAACTGGACCTTCAAGTGATTTCAAGTAATCATAATCCGGATACCATGCATCATCGCCAGCATGTCGTTTGCTTAAAAAGAATATTTTAAATTAAACTTTTTATTTAATAAAAAAAGTGCAAGAAAAATATTCTACAGTAATTAAAAATATTGTTTAAAAATAAACACAATTGTTGAAAAAATTTAAAAATTTAAAAAAAAAACAAGTTTATCAAAGTGACATTTTTCATTACAAAATGAAAATCGATTTTCTACTACTTTGGAACATTGTCAATTGCTCTAAATGTAAATAAAACAAATATAGTTACACTAAAAAGAATTGACATTAACTGACAATTGAATTAATTTATATATTTTTGTTAATTTGCAAATAGAAATGTAATTAAGAAGGAAAACAAAAATAGTATCAATTTGGCATATAGGTTATGTTACGATTATATAACATTTTTCAAGTTTTACCCAGTTTAATAGACTATTGTGAAAAAGATATTTACCTAAGTAAATAGGTGGGAGCACCATGTTGTAAAATATTAATACTGTCTGCTGAAAATCCTATAGATTTTCGCAGAACAGTTCTTAAAACTGCAGTAGCCATCGTCCTCAGAGGCTACCACGGTCGTAAAAACATATCCTCTAAACAGAACTCAACTCCCAGTATTGTGAATGACTCGCGATATTAAGAGAAAATATTTCTCTCCATCGACACAAAAGCGTAGCGCCACTATAGCAATTTTACTATTTATTTTTGTTTAAATAACACTTAAAATAAGAAAAATTATAAAAAATTATAAATCTGTAAATATCAAAAAAAATATTTTAATTAAGAAGCAAGTTAACAAAACCTAATAAATCCATTTTTGTAAAATTTTTAAAAACAATTTTTATAAATTCTATATATTAATAAAATACTAATAAAACTAATTGTAAAAAAATGTTCAAAAATGTTTTTATCATGTTTTAAAAAATTGTTTAAAATTTATTTACGAACTTATCTTTCATATGAAATTTTCTTCATTTGTGATATCTTATAAACACCATTATCACTTGAAAATACATTTCACTGATTACACTTCACATTTTATACTTTTATTCAAAAATTATTAAAATATTAATGAATTTACTACTTTCACCTTAATGTGAAAACAGTATCAAATCCTATTGCAAAAATGTTCAAAACGTTCAATAGGAAATTGACAGATACTTTCTATATATTAGCATAGAAATAAGTATATCTGATAAAATAGCGGCACCGTATTTTTTTAAAACAAAAAAGGACTCACCGATTGAAGACAGATTATGATTCTCTATTGGGACCTACCTTTATCCAGATACCCCTTTTTAAAGTCCTCCAGCACCTGAGATCAACGTCCTTCATCGTAGTAGCTCGGGAACAATGATGTCTTTTCTTCAGGAACCACACACACACATTTATTTTCTAAATGAAATAAATAATAACACTACACTGCACACTTATTCTCACGAGACGTAAAAAAACGTTTATTTGCCCTTTGACAGGTCTAACCTAACAGTTTGGTCCACCTTCCACTTGGAATGATTTCCAAATACGATCGAACGTTCCTATTCGCTTTCAGTTTCCGTTTCATGCCATGAGATGGCACTTTACACTTTCTTAAATCCCGCCAAAATATCTTTTACACTTATCACAATTTATGTAAAATATTTTTTAGAATCTTTTAATCCATAATGTTTCGCTTAAACACAAAATATCTACACCAAAATATAACAGAATATAAATAAAATTGAATTTTTACCCGGCCCCTGACGATAGGCAACTTTGAACTTCAACGGTTTTTTCGTACGGCCGCCATCTTGAATTTCACTTTTTTCAACTTTCAACAATTGAAAACAGACGAAATTTTCAATAGATTTTCCAACTAACAGATATTTACACTAAAAATCGCACATATTATTGCACTAAATACCACTTCAAACACTATTGTTCACTCAAATTGTATACAAATTAGGTTATTACATTGCACATTTGGAGCAACTATTTGCCGCATAAATAAATTTTGTAAACGATTTACTCTTATTAAAATTTTCCCATCATTAAAAAAAACAACTATAGCTTAAAGAAACACAAATTAACTTCCGGTATTATAAAATTAGAAATTAGAAATAAAAAATTAAATTATGAAAAATATAACCACTTAAATTTACAACTTATCCCTCCGAATAATCGGGACATACTGAGCGTTACACTTCCAACTTGTTCCTAACTTCACCTCGTTCTTCATTGGTTAAGGGAAAACCAATGAGCGTGCATAATTTTGTTAACCAATAAGAGTGGGAGTATCGATGTATCGATATGGTGGGAAAATTTGAAAAAAATGTAATTTATTTAAAATTTCTGACTCTAGATGGCGCAACTATGAGTTTCAAATTAAACATGCGCAATACCATCAACCGGCATATATAGTTTATGGTCAATGACAGTTCTTGGGTGTGTGATAAGTTTCTTTTTTTTTGTAAATAATTAAATTTGGTAATTATAAACTTATGAAGGCGTTATAACTGTCAGTTAAAATGATGGCGGAATATCGTTAGTTAATTTTCTATTATTTTTCTTCTCTCTATCTTTTCCACTTTTCTGCTTTTCTTTTTTTTTTTATTTTACTCTGCATGACATTGATTGGTCTCCATATTGTTTTCTGTCATAAAACTGTCATTTTATTAATGGTATTATATTTTATTAAAACTTCCTCAATTAGTTCTCTGTAGTTTTCTTTAATTAATTATACACTATTTTTTCTTTTATGTCATTAAGGATTCTTTTAATTTTTAAAATAAAAATTGAAGAAAATTCTATTTATGGAAAAATACAGTTATTTTTAGATAGATTCATCTTTTGGACATAAAATATATTGTAACTTTCTTTTAATGAAAGAAATGAAATTTAAAAAAAAAAGTCTTAATATACAAATTCGTCTAAAATTTTCTAAAAATAACTTTCGAAAATCCTTTCCTGACATTTGTCTATTAGAATAACATCGAACATTACTAACGAGAGAGTATCGTCGAGTGAAATAGGTACCGGATCCTGTGGAGTATCATCGGGCGTAGGCAGTGATTCCGAAATCATGGCCGAATTAGCAGCACTTTTACGTCAAGAAATTCCTGAGGGTCGTGGAAGTCTTGCTGACAGTCATACAAATTTAGAGCGTGTCGCTGAATATTGTGAAGCAAATTATTTTCAAGCTGAAAATAAAAGAATTGCATTAGAGGAAACAAAAAATTATACAACACAATCACTTGCCAGTGTTGCCTATCAAATAAATACACTTGCCTATAATTTTCTTCAATTACTTGATTTACAAACATCACAACTTGACGAGATGGAAAGTCAAATGAATCATATTGCTCAAACAGTTATGATACATAAGGAAAAAGTTGCCAGAAGGGAAATTGGTGTTCTCACTGCAAATAAAATGACAAGTCGTCAATATAAAATTATTGCTCCAGCTAATCCTGAGAAGCCAATTAAATATGTGAGAAAAAGCATTGATTATACAATTCTCGATGAAATTGGTCATGGAGTACGTGGTGGAGGAACACCGAGAAGTAAACAAAGAGGAGGTAGTCAGGGTAGTGTTCAAAGTTTAGGTGTTGCTTCCCAAAGTTCCGCTTTGGCTGCTACAATTGTTGGTCCAGCACCAACAACTAAACCACCAACACCACCTCAAAGTGTCCGAACAGGTTATTTGAAAATTATTTAATTTATTTTTAATTTATATTTAATTTAAATATTTAATTTTGATAACAATTTTCGTTTTCTTTTCTTATTGTATAGGAACATTGAGTAAAGGTTCTCGAGAATATAGAACACCACCGGCAGTGGCACCACCACAGGTACCAAGTCATTATGCACCGAATTATCCATTGGGACATCCAAGACGAGAACGTGGTCCAGGATACAGTACATTGCCATTGCATTCTCATACAACTCAACATCAGACACTTATTACTAATCACAATACAATGATAAATCCAGGGAATCAACATACTTCTCCACCACAAGTTGGAACCGTTCATCCTTTACAGAGTCATCCACAAACTCCACCGCCGGCTCCTCCTAGTGTAACTGGTTCCACAAATTACATACAAATTCAGGATCAACACAATGGCATGCCTCGTAAGTTGATTTTTTTAATTTATTTCTTTTAATCTCAAGTTAGACAATGAATTTGAAAAATAAAATTTTAATTTATCTAAATTGAAAATAATTGATTATTAATTTAGTAAATACTCAGGCCTTGGATTATATGACTTTTGGGTCAGACCATTATAATTTCAAATAAAGTCGTTGTGGCTGAATTTTAGAAAAAAATTGATTTTTTCAGAAATAATTCTACATAATATCTAGGGAAAGAAATAAAAAGAAATATGTTAAAAAATTTTATTTTTCTTAAAATTTGAATTTAAAGTGGAAAAGATACGCAAAAGTGTCACTTTTTTAGCTAATAGAAAATGTATTAAAAACAAACGTAGAAAAATTATTAAAAGTATAAAAAATATTAATGATTCTTGTTTAAAATTTGTTGATTATTTATATTTTAATGATTAAACTTAATTACTTAATTACAAGAAAGCATAAAAATTAAATTAAATAAAACCTCACCGAATATAGAGTATTCTTGATGAAGTTTCAGATTTTCTTAGTATTATAATTAATTTTAGTTCCGAATTTTTCCGAACTTTGCAAATTAATATCTCCGTTAAAGAAAAATCTAATAATTTGTCACTTTCACAACTTTTAAATCACATCGAAATTTACACGTACCGAAATTTTCGTTTTGGTCCCGAATCTAGTTTGAGAGGTATAAGTGTTTAAAATTTTCACTTTTTTCCAGGTTAAAACTGTGTATTTTCTTCTAATCGGAATGTGGTTCGCGAGAAAAACCCAACTTTAAGTTAGAAGAACCACGTTCCGGTTAGAAGAAAATACACAGTTTTAACCTGGAAAAAAGTGAAAATTTTAAACACTTATATCTCTTAAACTAGATTCGGGACCAAAACCAAAATTTTCGATGCGTGTAAATTTCGGTGTGATTTAAAAGTTGTGAAAGTGCCAAATTATTTGATTTTTCTTTAATGGAGATATTAATTTGCAAAGTTCGGAAAAATTCGGAGATCGCGTTCTTTTAACTTAATATTTATTGTATATTTAAAGTAAAATTAATTATAATGCTAAGAAAATCTGGAACTTAAAAAAAATGAAAAATACTCTATATTCGGTGAGTTTTTATTTAATTTAACTTTTTTGCTTTCTTGTAAGTAATTGATAAAAATCGCAAAATTAGGTTATTTAACGAACCAACTTTAAAAACATATTTTACCTATAATTATAATTTATTTAGTAGTTTAATCATTAAAATTTAAATAATCAACCAATTTTAAACAAGAATCAATAATATTTTTTACACTTTTAATAATTTTTCTATGTTTTTTTTATACATTTTCTATTAGCTAAAAAAGTGACACTTTTGCGTATCTTTTCCACTTTAAATTCATATTTTAAGAAAAATAAATTTTTTTTTAAATAATTCTTTTTATTTCATTCCCTAGATATTATATAGAAGCATTTCTGAAAAAATCAATTTTTTCTAAAATTCGACCGCAACGACTTTATTTGAAATTATAATGGTCTGACCCTTTTTCGAATTTTTTTTTTACAATTTTTACAAAATTTTTAAACAAAAAAAATTCTTTTTTAGTATATAATGCAGATCTTTTTCAGATCTCTTTTATTTTAATTATTTAACAAATTTTCTTCTCAATTAATTATTTTTAACAATTTTAATGAAATTCTTTACAAATTTAATTGTCTTAAACTATTTTTCAATTAAAAATTTTATAAATTGCAATAATTGTTTAAAAAATTAAAAAAAAACAGCAAATAAAATTACCGAAAATTTCAAATCAAAATCACTTGACATTCAATTATTTTCAAAAAATATTTATTTTAAAACCTTTCAAAATTCAATTATTTCTGAAATCTTCCATCTAAAACTTTCTGAAATTTAATATTTTCAACTATAACTCTTCCGAAATTCAATTATTTTTAAAATATTCTTCGAAAATTCAATTATCTGAAAGCATTTTTCAATTAAAAACTTTCGAAATTCAATTTTAATCTGTAATTTTTAATAAATTCTTCAGTTACAAAAGTTAACGAAAATTTTAATTAAAAATCACTTGAAGTTTAATTATTTTCAAATATCTGAATTGTAAATCTTTGAAAATTCAATTATTTTTTTAAAAATGTTATCTAAAAATATTATCAATTCTGTTTTGCGCCTTTAAAGTCGATCCATGGCCTGAATACTTGGTATTATTCAAATAATATTATTAATATTATTAATATTATTCAAATACTTTTTGTGCGTTTTAAAGTACATTTCAAAAATAAAAAAATCCGTTTTTTCGTTTTCAACAATTTCAAAATTGAAATCATTGTCTTTGTGTGTTTCTTACTTGCAAAAGAAACGAGTTCACGTCCTAATTGGCCATCAATGGGTACTACAGTAAGATTTAAAGGTAAAGTTTCTAATTAAATTAATTATAAGTGAATATTAGTGAATGGTTTGTTACTTCCTGTATATTTTATTATTATTATTTCAGTGCATTTTTATTAGAATAGATAAATTTTGACATCCTTGTTTTTTTTATATTTATTATTGTTTATTGAATTTTAAATTCATATTTTTTTTGAATTAAATTAATAAATTTTAATTAATTTTTTTTAATAGCACCACCTTCGCCATTAGTGGGAATGAATTCCGATGTTGGTGATTACACTGGACATCATACACTGCCACATAGATTGTCACATCAAGTGAGTCGCAGTAGTGGTGCTAACAGTCCGCCTCTTCCTCCGCCGCCGCCTCCAGAAAATGAAGAACATTCTCAATTTGGAAGACCACCACAATCAAGTGGAGCTATTATGCCTATTGTGCCAGACGAGGAGGATTTACCTGGATGGGTGCCAAAGAATTACATAGAAAAAGGTATTGAATTTTAATTATATTATTTTATTTAAAAAATTTGTTCTATTTCTCATTTTTTTGTCAATTTTCAATTTCTTTATTCAATAAAAAAAAATGTTTCAAATTATCCTAGATTAAAGTAACAAAATTTTTTCAGTTGTGGCAATTTACGATTACTATGCCGACAAAGAAGATGAATTGAGCTTCCAAGAGAGTTCGGTGATTTACGTTTTGAAGAAAAACGATGACGGTTGGTGGGAGGGAGTTATGGATGGAATAACAGGCTTATTCCCTGGAAACTATGTCGAACCATGCGTTTAAGAGAAAAAAAAATTTATTTTTTTTCTTATATTTGCCCTATAATGAAGCTCGATTTAGATTAATTTCAAATTTTCACATTTTCCTATTATACTTTATATTAAAGGAACGTGTTTTATTTATAGAAGAAAAAATGCCGACTATATTATTTGTCGCTAAAAGAATTTTTAGAAAACTTCCCTTTTTTTCAATTTAGATTAAAAAAAATAAAGCAGAACTAATTCTGTAATAATTTTTAAACTATAATATCTATATGTACGTATATATGTATAACTGATAACACAGTCCCTGAATAACTTCCATTTATAGAAACATAAAATTCAAAGACTAAGAATTTCTACAAGTTTTTGAAGATTTCCATTTTTATCAAACTATAGTTAAAGGGATTATTTATATTTATAATTAGTAATATTTTTTCACTTTGGAATGAAATGAAAACAGAAAGAAAATTGTATTTCTAAGCATTTATTTGTCATATTTAGAGACATGTTGTCTTGTTTCAGTAATCAACTTTTTTAAAAGCGATTTCAATAAAAATTAGTTTAAAAAAATATTTGTAAAAATATTTCCATTTTAAAAAAAAAACAATCTCCCCTTATTTGTTCGCATAGCTTAGAAAAGCTAAAATTTAAAGAAAATATTCTGTAATGTTTTTACAGTTGAGATAAAAAATTAATTGCTTTTTTTTTATCTTGATAGAAAACTATTCGATTTAAGATCGTTCTTTAACACTGCCATCGGACATTCCAAAGAATGCTTTTTTGGCCATTTTTATAAAGAGACCAGTTTCAACAACTCCGGGCATTGATATTAATTTTGTATTTATTTCTTCCCAATTATCTGTTTCTGTTGGGAAATTCCAATCGATTATAAAATTTCCATTATCCGTTACAAGAGGGCCCTGAAATAGAAAATTTCTTGTTTGAGAAAAATAAAAATACTAAAAAAAGAAACTAAAGAAGCTAAAAAATTAGAATATTTCAAGAAAACAATATTTGAAAAATTTTTCAATTTTGTTATACCATTTTTGCTACGGCCATTCTTAAAATAGTTGAGCCGCCCAAATTTTCTTCTATTTTCTGTTGAATAGGTTTGTATGACATGGGAACAACTTCAATTGGCACTCCTTTTTTATATTGTTCCCCTAGTTTTTGTGAATTTTTTCTACAATTGAAATAATACACAAATTTAATTTATTTTCAAAATTTTGTTGTGTTTATATTAATTTTGAAACTGATATTTCTTTTTTTTTGCATTTTCTTTTTGTACAGTGAAATCGTTACCAAAAAAACATTTTTAAATTTTTATTTATTAATTCCGTTTTTTTTGATGCTGCATTTAATTAATGCCAAATGTAAAATATGAAAAATACTCACGTGTAATCGGCTATTATTACAAGTTGATCCGAACAAGAGGCAACGACTTTTTCTTGAAGTAAACAACCACCTCCACCTTTGATGAGATTCATTTCAGAGTCAACTTCATCAGCTCCATCAATAGTACAATCTATCTATTTAAAAAAAAAAAAAAAATACAATAAATAATAATCAATTACAAATTTTATTTTTTTTTTACCTTTGGATAAATTTCCAAATCTCCTAAAGTCAGTCCATGTTTAACAATAAGTTGTCGAGCTTGAAATGAGGTAGGTATGCAAATTACGTTTAATTTTTCATTTTTTACTCTTTCGGCTAAAACAAAAAATATAAAGTAACAAAAAAAAATTTTATTTGATTTTTTTTTCAAATAATTAAATTCTTGCTTCATTTATTATATTTTTTTTGATGAATAAAAAATATAGTAGAGAATGACTTTCCTAAATATCGTAATTATAAATTTTTGACTAAAAATATTACATACCAAGTCTTTCAACTGCAAATACAACAGTTGATCCACTTCCAATTCCAATAACACTGTCAGTCTGTAAAAAATCATTTTTTTTTAATATTAAAAATATTTAAAAAATAAGAACACATGCTTCCTAACCTTAACGTATTCATCCACGGCTTTATAAGCTGCTATTTTTTTAGCACTTTGGAGTGGATGCATATTGAACGATGACGTCTGTATTTAAAAACAATATAAATAATTTTTTTTTGTTTGTATTTAAGTCATTTACTAATTATTTAATTAAACAAAGAAGTTAATAAAGCTCACTATAATCCGTCTTGTAAACGTTATCATTTCCTACTATCATTATCACTGTATATCATTATGATGATTGGCTCTCTGTTGATAAATTTGTTGCGCGTATAATAAAACTTAAAATTGAAAAATATTTTTATAATTTTAATAATTCATCTTCCATAAATGAAAAACTCTTTCTAATAATTATAATCTAATAGCATAAATAAATAAATTTATATTTATTAAAAACTAAATTTAAACCTACGCGCAATAATTAGACAGTGCTGCCATTACGTCAAGTTTTAAGTTTTACAGCCTGATTTGTCGGCACTTGTCAAAGTTTTGTAGTCTGCTAACAAGAGCAGAAGTGCTTCCTTAAAATTTGAGTGTAATTTAAGTTTAATTTCAAAATTATTCAGTTTCTTTTTCATTTTTCTCGAAAAAAAATACTTAAGAACGAATTCTAGTATAAATTAAATAGTTTTGTATTATTTTTTCATAAAACTATGTTAAAATTTCTTGTCTTCCACCCAACATTCGTATTTCTCTTGTTGATTATCACTTGTCAAGTATTTGGCAATAGAAAATCGAAAATAACTGACGAAGAATTATTTGCCACTCAATTACCGCCATGTGCTGCTTGCAAGGAGCTTATAAAATCTTTCATAGGTGTAAGTTTTTAAATAAAATGATTTTTGTTTACATTATAAATTACACGTATAAATATTTACTGATGTCTTCCAATCAAATTACGCCACGTTCGACATGTATTGTCAACAATAGATTATTGAATATAATTAATGAATATTGATTTAAAATTATTATTGTTTATTATTGTATAATTATTATTTAAAAAAAAAAAAAAAAAAATTCTAGGGGATGAATGCGACAAAACGTGGTAAATATGAAGGAGGCGATAGTGCATGGGAGGAAGATAAATTAGGATCATATTCACGTAGTGAATTACGTTTCACGGAAATTCAAGAATTAATGTGTAAGGACGTGAAACAGGGTAAAAATCAATGTCACTATTTAGCCGATGAATATGAAAATATTTTACAAGAATGGTGGTTTAAGGAACAGGACAAACAAACAGATATTTATGCATTTGTTTGTATTGAAAAATTAAAACACTGTTGTCCAGATAAACATTTTGGTAAAAATTGTGATTCATGTCCTGGTTATCCTGATAAAGTTTGTCATAATAATGGCAAATGTAAAGGTTCAGGAACAAGAAAAGGAAATGGACAATGTTTATGTGAAAAAGGTTATGCAGCGAGCGATTGTTCTGAATGTGATAGTGGATTTTATCAAGTTTATAAAGATGAAAATAAATTTTTATGCACTGCCTGCCATTCATCGTGTGCTGGACCGTGTAATGGTCCTGGACCCAGAAATTGTATTAATTGCTCAAAAGGATGGCAATTTGTCAAGGATAAAGGATGTTTAGATATTGACGAATGTATTATGAGCGAAAAACCATGTAAAACAAATCAATTTTGTGTTAATGAAGAGGGATTTTATAAATGTTTAGGTAAATTTTATTTTCTGTCTTTCGATTTTTCATTTTGAAAAAAAAATTTATTTGTAATTATTTATTACAGAATGTGATAAAGTTTGTAACGGATGCATTGGTGATGGACCAGATATGTGTATTAAATGTGCAGATGGTTATCATAAAAAGGACAATTTCTGTATACGTAAGTATAATTATAAAAAAAAGAAAATATTAAATATTATATACTAATAAAATGCTTGGTCTGTCCTTCTGTCCTAACTTGAAGTTGGCCTTTTCTGATTTCACGTGTTTTTTTTTGAATAGTAATCTTATGACGTGTCAAATTTTGACAATTCTTTTTCTCATTTTTGCCAAAGTTATATAATTGTGTTTCCTTTCGGAATAAGTTTCTTTAAAATTCCAAATTCGAAAATTCAATTCACGAAGCTGAAGTACACAACGTTTACCAACGAAATTTTTTTAAAAGTTGTATATTGATTCAAAAATTGTACAAAAAAGTTATGATGGAGAAAAAAGATGAGCCAAGAAATTTCGTACAAGATAGTAATTTGAAAAAAATTTATTTTTAAAAATTAATTTTTAAGGTACCAGGGGCCAACGAATACCTATTAAATATTAATTATAAAAACACAGTCCTCGAATCAACTTAAAGACACAAAAAAGTCGTTTTAGTCGATTTATATTCCAAAAAAAAGTGGATTTGTTTTTTATTTTAACAAAAATATTTTACAGATTTTTAAATAAAATTTTTATTTTTTTTAATAATAATCCTTTTCGAAGGGTTAAAGTTGAAATTTTTAGAAATAATTAAATTTTAAAAGATATTGTTAATTTTCAAACAATTATTAAATTTTACAAAACTAAAAATAATTCATCAAACAATTTTTGGAAAACATTTTTTAAATTTAATTGAATTTTTAAAGATTTAAAATTGAGATTTTTGAAATTAATTGAAACTTTAAGTGTTTTGTAATTAAAATTTTAGATGATTTCACTAAAAATTTATTAGAAAATGCGGACAAAATACAATAATTAGAAAATGATTTTTAATTAAAAAATGGTTTCAGATAGTTAAAATTTCAAAGAATATTATTAAAATAGTTAAAAATAATTGAATTTCCTTAGAGTTATAATTGAAATTATTAAATTTCCAAAAACAAAATTTTCGATGGAAAATTTTAGAAATAATTAAATTTTAGATGCTTTTAAATTCAAATTATTGAAAATTCAATTAATTTTGAATTCAAATTTTTGAGAATAATTAAATTTTATTTGATTTTAAATTTGGAAAATAATTAAATTTCAGTTCATTTTGAATTGAAAATTTTGGGAAATAATTGAATTTTAATTGAAATTTTGGATTATAATTTAATTTAAGTTCATTTTTGATTGAAAATTTAAATCATTAATTTTGTATAGAAATTTTAGAAAATAATTAAATTTTACTTCATTTTAAATTGAAAACTTGGTAAATAATTAAATTTTAAATTGAAAATTGTGGATAATTATTGGATTTTTAATTAATTTTGAATTAAAATTTCGGATAATAATTGAATTTTAGTTTATTTTGAATTGAAATTTTTTAAAAAATAATTCCATTTTTATTGTGATATTTTTTTTAAATTATAAACAATTGTTAAATATCATAAAAATTTAATTGAAAAATAATTTTGACATAATTGAATTTGTGATGTATTTCATTAAAATTATTAAAAATAATTAATTTAATTTAGTTATCATTTCCTACTATCATTATCACTGTATATCATTATGATGATTGGCTCTCTGTTGAAAAATTTGTTGCGCGTGTAATAAAACTTAAAGTTTAAAAATATTTTTATAATTTTAATAATTAAATAATTAATTTAGTGAAGAATCATTTTAGTTCAAAATTTGTTAAATAATTGAATTGAAGAAGTTCTGAAGAAGATCTACATTTTATACTAAAAAAATGTATTTTATTTACATTTTTTTTCAAATGTAAAAAAATTGTCGCATTTTATTAAAATAAGTCGATAAAAGTCGTATTTTTGAAAAAAGTCGTATAATCCGAGGCCTGTAAACATATAATTTTCATTATTATCATTTAATATGTAATAATATTCTAATAAATTAAATTATTATTGATAATATTAATCTTTAATTTCTTTATAACAAACAATTAAATACTCAATTTGGCGCGGTTGCGCGCGTTTAATTTTGCTAGTTTATTATTAAATTTCTATTTAATTTACAGATTCAGATACTCATGGACGAAAGAAAGCTGAAAATGTTACTCGATATATAACATATTTTGGCCTCGTTGTGGCAACTTCAATTATTTTCAAAAGAAATATATATGCCGCAAGTTTTATTGGATTACTTGTAGGTTTATATATCACAGTTTCGGAATATATGGTTGCCAATACAAATATTCAGGATTCTATTACAAATCTCGATATTTTAGGCCCTGTTACGTAATAATTAGTATTTTTCAAATTAGGAAACATTCACGTACTCACTATTGTTCTTGAAACAAAAAACTTTTATAATTACAAAAGTGTTTCGTTACTTTATGAGTACATTCTCAGGATCATTGAAAAATATGTAGTTCAATTTATTTTTAAGTTTTAGGAAAACTTAGTGCAAATTTAGAATCATTTTTTTTTTTTTTTTAATATTGAAGAAGAATTAAGAATTTTAATTAAGTTAAGAAATTGAAAAATCTAATTTCTGTTTTTAGGAAATTAAGATTTTTCTAAGGCTGAACGAATATGATGAGTTTTAAATGAAGTTACCATAATCTGATTTAAATATTTTAAAAAAATTTATCAATGAATTTTACTGTATATATATTTTTAAAATATCTGTTTGTCAATCTAGTGAAAAAGGGCATTTTTTTATCAACGTGTGAATTTTAATTTTTTAATTCTTAAAATTCACATATTGATATATATTTATTTTAATAATAGAAATTTGTACTTCTAGTTTGTAAGCAGTAAATTTTAAACCTTAACTTTTTTGAATTATTTTTACTATAATCAAAAATTCATTCTCAATCAGCAAATAATATTTTCTTTTTTCAATTTCTGTAATTTTTCTACTTTGCTATTGTATATTTTTTACAAATGGAGAGTTTGTGAACAATTTTCACGAAAATGTTGCCTGTAAATTATTATAAGAGTTGTGAAAAAAAACATAATTGTAAATGATTATAAATAATAAGTGAAAATATCTTTAAATAACTGATTCATAATGGTTTTTTTCCAATTTATTCCATTTAGAGTATTTTTAATAAAAATAGTCATTTTTCATAAGTTTTGTTCATTTAATTTTTGTTGAAAAAGTGTATAGTAAGAATATGATGCTTTTAAAATCTGCAACAATTAATAAAATTAATTTGAGAAAATTTAAAATTATAAATTTATTTTTAATTAAGAATAATTTTTTTCTTACCCATATAAAAACATTGAGTCCAAATTTATTATAGAACATATAAGAGACATAAGCTTGTCTTTGGCTTCTTTGAATAATGAAATTAATATCTTTTTGAAATTCAATAATTTGCTTTCCCCATTTTATCGTCATGTATATAATATTTGAAATTTGTATACTCTGCAAAAAATTGTAATTATATTTCTTTTTCATTGATTAGGAATAATAATTTAATTATTAAATATAATTTGATTTATTTACTTCGTAGGACATAATTTCACTGTAATAAGTCGTTAAAAAGAATTTTACTACACTTATAATTAAATATCCCACTAAAGCACTGTTGGAAAGCTGAAAATATTACAAATATTACACGAAATATTTTTAATGAAGAATTTTAGAAATTATTATTTTTTTTTTTAATTACTTGAGTTGCATTAATAACTGAAATTCCAAATAGTAATAAGCTGCTTATTAATTCCAGTAAAATTATAACACTCAATTGTTGATTAATTTTACGAATAAAGCTGGAAAAAGGAAAAAACACAAAAATAATTAACTTTATTTATTACTTTTAATTAATTTAAATTATTAAAGTGAAATTTACCACAAAATGTGAGCATGATGCTTAACAGTTTTTCTGAAATTAATTTTCACTGGTAACCAATTTATCATTTGATTCTTTTTAAAGTTAATTTCCATTTTTGTCATTGAAATTTGTTTTATAATTTTTTTAAAATTTTCTTGACTCACTCGCAATTGATGAGCACAATGAATAAATAATGATATTAAAAAAAATGAAATTTGAAAATCAATGAAAATCACATAAAAACTGCAAATACTTTGATATATATAGGCCACAATATATTGTGAATCATTATAATAATTAAATGGCAATGATGAATGAAATGGAATTAAATTGCCATTTAAATTAACTCTTGGTTGTAATAATGCAATTGATAAGGGAATTATTGATATTAAACTTGCTGTAATGTGTAATTTTCTTAAAAAAATTTCAATTTTTACATAACGTTGAAATTTTTTTGTCATTGGTAATAAATCTCCTTGTATTTTACGATTAATGAAAATAAAAATTGTTGCCTTAAACCAAGCCGACACTGAAATATGAGCAACTGGGAAAATATCGACAAAATTAATCAAACTAATTGAACGCGTATAAAAATTGAGTAAATCAAGTACCGATAATGTTAATAAAAAATATAAAATTAAACGATATAGAAAATTTATATATCGTGAAGGATTTGTTTCTTTTACTACGATTAAACCTAAAATTTGTAATATCGTCACGTTTAACGTTAAAGTATTCATTGTCGAAATTCAATACAACAACTGAAGAGAATAAATTTTTTTGGATTCACTAAAATATTGTTCTGTAATTACTAAGAAAATAAAAGGGTTTTCTTTGCCTTTTTTAATTGATTTCAACCAAATTGATATCTAATGAGTTTTTTCCCCTTAATTATAAAAGTTTATGGAAAAAAAGTTATGGAAAGTTCAGGAGTGGTATAAATAAAGAAAATATTTTAACATTACTTTTACTTTTATTAATCATCGTCATCGTCGCTCATCGATATAATAATGCAACATATGTTCTGCCAGTAGTAATTATTATAAATTATCTACAGACACATTTTTTTTTGTGTTTTGTGTACGCATCACTATACATTTCGTCTTTTAAATTACGCAATCGTTTTCTGTTCGATCAATGAATACGATTTGTTTTTTTTTTTAATAATAAATAAATTATCACCTATATAATAATGTTTCACATTTTTTCGATAATATTTACATAATGAAAAAGTTTAAGAGACTGCGTTAAAAAAAAAAAACAAAAAAATCATCAGCCTTCCAATGATTAGATTTAGGAAAACAAAAAAATTTTTGAGATTTCACCTCTTTTTTTTAAGCGTTGTTTTCCTAAAACTAATTCTTTAATAAACTATTACTGTACATCTAGCGCTAATTAAATTATTCTACGTAAATCCAAAACGAATTTTCAGTCGATAAGTTTTTTTCTTTTCAAATCTTTTTGCTTAGAGCCACAAATTGTAGAAATATCGTCAATATGCTAAAAACTGATACATATAAAATTTTAATTTTTAATTAAATTTTATATGCCTCTTAGTATTTTCAATTTTTTTTTTAATGATATGGATAAGCTTTTCATGTTCGTAGCATTTAACGATTTTAAAAATAATTTCTTTTTTTTGAAATTTTGTTATCGAAGTCTGAGAAAAAATAGAAATTAAAAATCGCTTTTATAAAATAAATCTTTACATTTGTAAAAAAAAAAGATCTTTACTATAAAGTGTTTGAATTTTTTTAAAAAAAAGTTCGTATTAACAACTGTATGTAAACACAACAGACGAATTTTTTTTTTTTACGTCGTACAATTTATACATCTATTTTATTTTACTTTTATTTATTTTCTTTTTTTTTGAAGGCTTTTCTTTTGTAAAACTTAACATGATGAAATTACAATTATATTTTACATTTCCAAATCATCACACTAATCGTTAGAGGATGGCAAATTATAAAAATAATACATTATATTTTCTCCGCGTGATTAGTTTGATGATCCGGCACTTCCCTGATACGACTATGATCCTATGGAAGAAATAATTTAACATTCATTCCTAGAATCGTAGTTCGACTAAATCTAATGGGATCTTGTCGGAAAGAATTGATCCGATATTTTTATTCGTTTACTGTAGTTATAAATTCTCGAATGGTTGGTGTACATATTTTAAAATTTGCAAAAAAATTGTCGAAATATTTCACATTTCAAAAAAAAATATTTATGTTTTTGTAACTTTTATTCATTATTTAAATTGTCACAAAAAATTAAATATTTTAACTTCGAAATATTTGGAAAGAATTTTTTTTTTTGCGAATATTTTGACATTTTACTATTGAAATATTTTAAATATCTCACTGACGAAATATTTCATTTTTCTGTTTTTTTTTCTTCTTTTTTGAAAATGGGTTATTTTTAAAAATGAATTTTTTCTTTCATTTTTATGTGGGATAAAAAATTTTTTTTTACAAGAGATACCAACCACAACGATTATTTTATGATTAGCAATTTGATAGTCAAAATACATAGGATATTTTATCATCTACGCGCATTTTATAGTTACATATACATAATATCGATTATTCTGGAAATGAAATTCCAGAAAAAATAAAAAAAAAGATTGCCCGCAAAAATGTTGAAATTTCATCATTAGGAAAGTTAAAGAATTTTTCCAGAATAGTCGAATTTTTTTTTTCACAATATATAGCGATAGATCTAGAGATATAAGAAACCACAATTTCTACCGTGTGTGTGTCCAGTTGATACTTAACAAATTATCCAATTGACATTTTTTTTCAATTACTATTTTAATTATAAGAATATTAGTTTTTTGTAATGAAAATTCTTTTTTTACAAATTTCTTTTTTGTTATTAAATTAAATTAAAAATTTTGTAAAAGTTTTTTTAAATAAAAATATATTATATTTTTTTTTACTGGAAACACACCTGACGATTTCGCTAAATTTCACTCGTAGCAGTTAAACATAATCTCTTTGTCTGAGTAATCTTTTTTTTGCATACAAGTTTTTAATACGATCTAAAAAGATTTACAATTTAGTATGCATATCTGGCAGTTTTTTTTTTTTTTTTTTTTTTAATCTAATATACAAATTATTTTGAATTTGAGCGATTATACGGATGTAAAGTGATGCTCGTTATATCTTATAATAATTTATGGATTGCTTTCACAAATACTTCCCATTATAGCATTCTCAATAAACACCTTTGTTAAAGAAAAGCAAACAAATTTAAAAAAAAAGAAAAAATAAAAACTAAAAGTAAAAAAATATACTTTCAAATAAAGTACATTTGAAAATATACTAGAATATTTTAAATATTTTAAAATATAATTTTTTTTATCAAAAAATATTTTTGTTAAAATATTTTTTCATTTAAAATTCTTTTTAAAATTATATATTTAAAATATTTTTTCAAAATTAAAGTATATTTGAAAAATACTTTGAAATAAAGTATATATTGTATATTATATTTATTTAAAATGTACAAAGGCAAGGCGACAATGCCGGCAGATTTTCTGTAATAAAAAAATCGATGGAATTTCTTCTCAGACAATATTTATGTTAAAAATTTTTATTTAAAAATTTTTAGAATTATGTTTTTTTTGTGTATTATTTAATAAAAATATTTTAGAATAAAAAATGTTTAATTCTAAAATATTTTTTTTTTTATATACCAAAATAATAATTGATTTGTCATTTTATCTAAAATACAAATTTTTTTTTTCGTCAAAAATTTCACTATTAATTTTTTAAGAAACATTTTATCGAATGTTCATAACAATATATTAAATTTTATTTTTTATTAAATAAAAAAAATTTTCGATTTAAATAAATGAATAAATAAAAAAGTGTCGATTAAATGTCGACATAAAAAAAAAAATTATTTTGCAATTCGTCGAAGATTATACTTAACAAGTATTTATTTAAGATTTCAACGCGTTTTTTCTCATCTACACAATTTATTTTTTTTTTAATTTTTGCACCTTTTTACTACAGTGCAAAATAAGTTTTCACTTTCTCACTTAAATTTTTTTTTTGGAGCATTATTATTATTATTATTATTATTATTATTATTATTACATATATAAAATTTACTCCTTTTAGTTTTTCACTTATGATCTACAGCGCGTACGTGTTAATGATGTGTAAATTAAAAGCTAATGACTAATTTCGTTAATTAACTTTGTACAATGTATACAAAACCATTGATATGATTATACACCTTACACTCGTACTTTTTTTATATTTATATATATATATTTATATATATATATATATATATATATATATATATATAATGCATTGCTATAAATATTATTTTGTTCTGGAAGAAATGCACGCCGATTATTCTTTCTTTTCTTTCATTATTTCAATTGTCTTCCCTAAATAATTAGGAGTATTTTGTTTTTCAATAAAATTGCATTTTTATTATTATTTGTCATTGGCAAAAGGACCATTAAAAAAAAGTAAATTAACATTTTTTTTTCTTCGATACTCGTCTATCTTATGATTAAACGGCAGTGAACGGAAAATTGAGTTTGTCGAGAACTGATTTCATTAGCTTTGCATTATGTAAATTCGCAAAGTTTATCTCTATATGAGAAAGATTTTCAAAAGCCGTCCAACTTTTTGAACGTTAAATTAATGTCAGTTCGTTTGTTAAAATAAATTAATATACAAAAAAAGGAAAATTAAATATATTTAGTAAGAAAAAAAAATGTATAGAATTTATGGAAATAAGGGGAAAAAAAGATGATAAAAGAGTAAAAACGACGTGATTATATAAGTGTAATAAATGCAAAGAAAAGATAATCGATCACTTTTTACAGTCTTTGAAGAATCATAAAAAAAAAATGATTCTCTATTGTAAAAATGCAATGTCAACAATACTGTCGTTTAAGTCACGACATTTAAGTGTACACGACATGACACAATTTGCCTGGCAAATTTGCAAATCGTGAAATGTAGTATATTTTCTCAAATGAAAATAGAAAATTAGCGGAAGAAATAGATAATTCCTTCTTCATTAAAGATTGAAAGCTGTTTTTTTTTTCTCGTGGGATTCTAATGGACTACGTTTTTGAGATTCATATGAGTATAATATGTACAAGAGTTATTAGGTTTTTTTTAACCTAATTATTATTATTATTTTTTTTTTTTTTAAGAGAACCAACCACGTGCAGCACACAATCATTTATATAATTTCAAATAGTACCTTGGAAAAAAATGGCATTTCTTCAAATTATTTATAAAATCGTGAGGAACCAACACCCAAGTACTCGGAGCTGCACGCGACCAGAGTGAATAAGTCGTTTCTGCCTATTTTTTCGACCCAATTCGACTGGTAAAATCGATGATACTTGTGTCATGTGTGTGTGTTTTTTTTTCTTCGTTTCAAACACGAAACAGCCCTTTTTGTTTTTGTTTTGAATGGAAGTAGACCAACGATATTATCTCTCAATCAATTGTGAGAATTATCGCTGTTATCGAAGGCCTTTAAACTGCTCTCTTGCACTATCTCTCTTCTTTTTATTTCCCCTCTATATAAAAGACTTAGCTATCACGTAATTCAGAAGTAGCATTTGGATTATTGCCGCCCATGAAGAGACTGTTTAATTTATTATATCTCTGGCTTCCCGAGCTGCTCATTGTATTTGAAGCTGATGAGTTATGTTGTTGATATCCACCACTTCGTGGAAAACTGGGCACTTTATCTGCAACATTAAAAAAATAATGTTAAAAATTAAATAACGTTTTTTTTATCGATTTTTTGAATTGTAAATTTAATTTTTCAGTTTTTTCTTTTCCTTTTTATTAATTTTTTGAAACAAAGTAAATAAATTAATTTAAAACAAATTTAATTTAATCTAAAACATTTAAAAAAATATAAAAATTAAATAACTGTTTTTTTTAATTGATTTTTTGAATTGTAAATTTAAATTTTTAATTCTTTCTTTTGTTTTTATTAATTTTTGAAGCGAATTTACTAAATTAAATTTTATTCTATTTAAATAAAAAAAAAAAAAAATGTAAAAGCAAATGAAATTGTTTTTTTATCTATTTCTTTAAATTATAAATTATATTGTTTTGTTTTTTTTCTTTTTATTAATTTTTTTAAAACAAATGTAATTTTAAACAATTGACTACCGTCAACAAAGAAAATCATGGATTACAGAACGCGATTTTTTCAATTTTTTCTTCACCAAAAATCTAAATTGTTAAGAAATTGTTTTATTTTTAACTATTCAAATATATTGTGAACATCCTTTTGAAGATTTACTCCAAATTTCATTAACAAAAAAAAATTTTTTTTGACAAAGCTATTTAAACGATTAGTGTACTTTATATCTAAAATATATTTTCTAATTTTTATTTTTCTAGAATTATTTTTCCTAACAAAGTTCAAATTCTAAAATTTTTTTTTCTAATAAAGTTTAATTTCTTTTTTCCAATAAATATGAATTCCTACCAATGAATTTAAATTTCTATGGAAGTTCAATTTAAAATTATTTGAAATCGTTTTTTGTCATTCACAAGCAATTTCAGAGAAATTTCAATTTATTTTATCAATTATTTTTGTATCCAAATTAAAATCAGTGAAAATTATATTGTAAAATTTTAAATTGTAATAAATATAAAAATGAAAATGGTCGTGGAAGTAATAAACAGTCGCAAAGGAAATTTTTATACATATAAATGGATTTTTATAGTATTTTCAACGACAAATGAAAAGAAAATCGTATTAGAAATGTACTATTAAAAAAATATATTTTAGAAAGCTAAATTTATTAGAAAAATCGACTTTTCCCTTTTCTTTTTATTAATTTTTTTTGAGACAAATTGAATTTAAATTTTTATTTAATTTGTTTAAAATTAAATTAATATATTTAAAAATTCAATTTGTCTCGAATTAATAAAAAAAAAAAAATCTCTACATATTTGATACTTTTAAAGCGTTGGTTAATATTTAATAAATGAATATAACAATACCTTTACTTCTGTTATGCCTCAGTCTCTCCTGTGAATTAACAGGACCACATTGCCTCTGGGGAATAGATGAATAATTACTTTCGCTACTGTACGTTGGTGATGTTGTCCTGTTCGTTCTTCTACGGGGACTTCTATTATTTCTATTTCGAGAATTAGCACGATTGTGTGTACAACTTGCCTGAAACTGACTAGTATTATAATCCATTGTGTCAGCATATAGACAACTTGACTCAGAGCACGAGCAACACATATCCGAATGTGTATTTGAATCACATGATTTTCTATCCCATTCATCATTTTCCGGATGATATAAATTATCATTTCTAAACATTTCATCATTGTGACGATAATCATCGAGTTCCATACGATGATTTGAACGTTTATTATATGAATCATGATTTCTATAATCATCACCAGTACCGCTACCATTTTGATGATGGCCATAAATTACCGAACCACTTTCGTATTCATTTTCTTGTGTTTTAAAATCATAATGATTGAATCCTTGGGGAAATGATGGTACAGGTGGTGGATTTGTTTGAGGTGGAAGTGTTGTATAGCGACCTTGATGTAGAGTTGATGGTAAATCGTGTCCTTGACCGGGGTTCCATGAGGAAAATGTGGCTCCAATACGCACGGGTGGTGTTGGTGGACTTTGGGAATTTTGTGAATCATCATTTCGTTTGCCAAGATGGGGACTAAATGATTGATGTTGTAATCGTGCGGCAAGGGAATTTGAAGAAGCTGGCGGTGGATGTTCAGGAGGTGGTGGTAGCATATCACACCAATTTGGCATTGTTTGAGAATTTCCTTCATTAATTCGATATTGTGGTCTTCGTTGTATTTCCGTATTTTCATCGGTATAGACACTTGTATTATCGCTACTTGGCGATATTGTGGATTTATTTTGATCTTGATTTGAATCAAGGGATGAGTAATCGGGTTTAACGCACGAATCACTTGAATTTGATTTTTGTCCACTTGTTTCCATTGATTCGGGACTTGGATTTGCGACGCAAAGTGTTGTGGTGGCGTATGGTTCAGGTGGTGCTTGTATTTGTTTTCTTGTATTGTAAAATGTTGTTAAATTCACTTCGGCATATTCGGAACCGGCCATACTGACAATACCGGGCGCTAATAAAGGTTGATTGTTGAGTAATTTTGTTTCACAGTCTTTATCATTATTTTGTAGTGTGTTTGTTGGTCGCCAGCCACGTTCAAGCCAAAGGGAATCTTTATTGAGTTGACAAATATCGTTTGCAGTGCCTACGGGAACGTTAAGGTGGCCCAATTGTTTGCTCATTGCTTGCTTTCGACGGACGTAGAGAGTTCCTAATAGTGCGGCTAGTATTGTGAAAACCATTGTGATTATTAAAATTAGGAACCATGTTTCTCGAACGACGGACATTCCACCGTGACTTGGATCGGTTCTCGGTGGTACTTGGGACAATTGTCCTGGATCCATGTTGAGAAGCGTTGGCGGTGAGAATGGACCAATTCCAGCGCGTGTTAATCCAGCGACTCTTGCCGTGTAGAGCCCACCGGTTGATAGACTGTTTATAATCACAGAAGTTGTCGATGCGTTCAATGACATTTGGCCTAGAATTTTGTTGCTACTATTGCTCTTTATTTGAATCTGCAAAAGAAATAGTTTTGTTAATTAAAGGAAAAGGAATTTGTTTTTTTAAATTAAAAGAAAAAATATTTACCTTATAGCCGACTAATTGACCGTTTTGTGTGTCCTTTGGCGGTGGTGACCATCGGACAAATGCAGATGTAATATTGATCATTCCAACGTGAACATTTTCCGGAGCACCAGATGGTGTATCTTCTTGAGTTGTGGCTAATTTTACATTACTCGGTCGTCCCTCAATTGTTTTATAGAATGGCACGAGGAAAAATTCGTAACGTGTATATTTTTTCAAATTCGTTAGAACATAACTCGTTGCACCGGCATTCAATACAGTTACCATTTGATATTCCGGCTTTTCTGACGCCTCACGATATCGAATGTAGAGACCTTCCACCAAATCAGCAGCTCCAAGAATCTAAACGATTTTTTTTTTTAATAAATTTTTTTTGCGAGATAAAATAAAAAATTATTCAAAAATAAATGGAATACTTACGTCCCACATTATTTTGCAACTCGAACTGCTTAACGATTGAACTTCTCTTAGGTGAAGAATTTCGCTATTAAGACGATCTCTAGCTCTGATTAATTCGATTTGAGGTACTGTGTGTTGATTCGCAGTTACTGTGTGAGCAACATCTGACATTGGACCCGGAAGTGACAAACCTTGACTATTTTCCGCTCGAACTAGGAAAACGTAGCTTGTATCCGGTTTTAGATCAAGAACCTAAAAATACGAAAATAAAATAAATATAAAAATAGAAATTAGAATAAGTATAGAGATTTTGAAAAAAAAAGAAACTTACAGTATAAGTATCGTCGGTGATTCCAGTGGCAGCGAGGACCCAACCAGTGTTTAAATTACTGCTGAAATACTCAATATTATAACCGATAATTTTGCTGAGACCCTCGTGACCTGGACTCCATGTTAAAGTGACACTATTACTTGTTGTATTGACAATTCGTGGTTTACTTGGATTTTGTGGCAATGCGGCAATATCCGGTGTACTGTGAAGTGTTGTCGAAGCACTCACTGTCAATGCCGCTGACCATGATGTATTACCAGATTCTGATGATGCAATACATGTATATAAACCCGAATCATTTGTATGTAAATCCTCAATGAATAGTGTACCATTATTTGCCATTGTTATACGACTTCCCAATTTAACTAAAACACCATCTTTGTGCCAATGAACTTTTGGATTTGGTGTACCAACAGCACGACATGGCATTGTTGCTGTACTTTTTAATAATAACGTTTGATTAGCTGGTCCCAATTCAATAATTGGCGGTGGTATTTCTTCGGTTGATGTCACTTGAAGAAATACAGTGGCAGTGCTTGCGCCAGCTTGACTAATTGCACTACAAACATAGTGACCCTCATCTTTACGAATAATTCCCTTAATATGAAGACTACCATCCTCAGCGATTGTGTAACGATCTTGATATGTATTACCAGGGAACATTAATTCCTGTGAACCTTCACGGGTCCAGAATATTGACGGTTTTGGTGCACCACGCGCTGAACACGCGAATGTTACGTCTGATCCTGTACTTATTGCTTCGTCCTTGGGGAAATTTGTGAAAACTGGACGGGCTGTAAATTCAAAAATTTATTATAATTAATAAAATAATTAAAATTGATAATAATTAAAATAGAATTTAATTGGATTTTTTCAAAAAAAAAAAAAAAAAATCGAATTATTAAATTAGAAAATTGGGAAAATTTTTTTTTTTTGGAAATAATTTTTTTTTTTTGTTATTACTTACAATGGACAGTGAGAGTAGCACTTGCGGAAATAGCACCGACGCCATTTTCAGCGTCACAAATATAGACACCTTGATCCTGAGACGTGACCCTCTCGATCCTGAGACTTTTATTGTCTAAAATGTGAGCTCTGCCGATTGGCATTTTTCCATCGTTTCTACGCCAAAGTATTTCCGGCATTGGATCGCCTCCCACGCGGCAGGCAAATTCGGCAGTTTGATCAGTCAAAATTGTTTGATTTAATGGCACCAAATTGAAAAATGGTTTCACTGGAAAAAAAAAGAAAATATTTTTTATTCCAGAAAATTATTATTGTATTATTTTTTTAATTATAATTTATATTATTATAATTTTATTTATTATAATTGTTTTTCAAATTTCTAAATTAATTTCAAAAATGATTATAAATTAATTTTTAATTCTTTTCTTAAAATATTATTTTGTAAAAAAATGAAATTTTGGTAAAATTCTTTTTTTTTTGCAAAATTAATTTCTAAATGATTATAAATTAATTTTTAATTCGTTTCTTAAAATATAATTTTGTAAAAAAATTAAATTTTGGTAAAAACTTTTTTTTTTTTTTTGACAAATATTAATGAGTAAAAATTATAAAAATTAAAATTATTCCTACCATGAACGGTTAAGGCGGCCAATTTTGATTCTCTTGCTCCAACCATATTTGACGCGACACACTGATATTTTCCTTGATCCGTTTGTCTGACATCGGAAATCATTAGGTTTCCTCCATCCACAAGTGTTATTCTAAAAATTAAAAAAAAAAAAAGATTAATTAATAATTTATAAAATAAAAGTCAAAAAATAATTGTACTAATAATATTTTATAAAAATATTTTATAAATTAATTTAATTATTTTTACTTCTAAAATTTTCAGTTTTTGAAAGAAATATTGAAAACAAGAATAAATGTGGCTTTAAATTTTAATTAGTGACAATTCATTAATTAATTCAAATTAGTATAAATTTTTACTAATTTTTACTAAAATATTACTATTTGATTCAGTAAAACATTACTATTTGATTCAGTAAAATATTACTATTTGATTTAGTAAAATATTACTATTTATTTTAGTAATTTTTCTTTTTCCTAAAATTTTAGTAATGTCAAAAAATAAGTTTTCGAAAATTTTTAGTAAAAGATTACTATTTGATTTAGTAATACTTTTTTTTAAAAAATAAATTTTAGTAATGACTAAAAATTAGTAAAAATTGTAACAAAAATTTTTAATAAATATATTTTTTTAATAATTTCCTATTTAATTAATTAATTTTTTTATTTTTAACTAAATTTTCATTGATAAATGACAAAAAATCAGTAAAAATTTAAAAATTAGCCAAACTCGTTGAATATCGAGGTAATGATTTTTTTTCTCCAGCATCACGGAAATGGATTATTATAGATCGTTTTGCATTAAATACTATATACTAGACATCGGAATTCAGGAAGTTGGTAGGCGGTTTACAGAGGAGAGAGTCTAACCATATAGTAAGGGAATCAATAGCTTCTCGATTGTGTCCTCTAATTTATAGTATCAATTAATTTCAGCGGCGAGAGCGCGAATCCCCCCGAGTCTCGAGATGCAGCTCTCTCGTGCCAGGAGTGCGGCTCGATTTAATTTCTATTAGTCGCGCCAATCCATTATCCATTTTGTTCCTATATATATATATATCCATGGCACGCATTTGCAAAAAAAGGGGATAAAAAAAAATTAATAAAATGCCAAAAAAAATTTCAAATATTTTCCAAAAAATTTCCACTGAAAATTAACAAAGAAAATAAAAAATTACAAAAAAAATAGTTTCAGTAGTACAAGTAAATTTTAGTCAGACATAAAATAGTAATGGATTATTTCGAATTAAGTAGTAAAAGCCAATTGCAGTCAGGCTTATTATTAGGTATTAATAAAGTAGTAGTATAATTAAAAGTAAAATTAGTAATAAAGTTATTAGAAATAAATTCACTAGGAAAATTAGTATTGAAGTTAATAGTAGAAAAGTAGTAGGAAAATTTGTTGTAAATAAGTAAATAAAATAAAATATTGTAAATAAGTTAGTAGGAAATTTAGAAAAAAATTAGTAGTAAAGGGAGTAAAAAATTAGTAGAAAAATTAGTAATAAAGTTAGTAAGAAAATTAGTAGGAAAATTAATAGGAAAATTAGTAGGAAAATTATAAGTAAATTTAGTAATAAATATAGTAGGAAATTAGTAGTAAAATAATTAGAAAATTAGTAGAAAAAATTAGTAGGAAAATTAGAAGTAAAGTTAGTAATAAATTTAGTAGGAAAATTAGTAAGAAATTAGTAGGAAAATTAAAAGTAAAGTTAGTAATAAATTTAGTAGGAAAATTAGTAGGAAATTAATAGTAAAATAAACAGAAAATTACTAGGAAAATTAGAAGTAAAGTTAGTAATAAATTTAGTAGGAAAATTAGTAGGAAATTAGTAGGAAAATAAATAGAAAATTTGTAGAAAAAAAAGTAGTAATAAATTTAGTAGCAAAATTAGTAGGAAATTAGTAGTAAAATAAATAGAAAATTAGTAGAAAAAAAAGTAGTAATAAATTTAGTAGGAAAATTAGTAGGAAAATTACTAGTAAAGTTAGTATAGTGGAAATAAGAGAAAAAAAGCAAAAAAAAATTCTTGTATTATGTGAATCAGTAGTAAAAAACTATTTTAGTCAGACAAAATAATATAAATATTTGCAACTATATAAATAAGTAGTAAAAACCACTTTAAATCAAACAAAAAAACCTTATTTATTTCTGATTAGACAGAAATTAAAAAAACTAAATTTCCAGATATCAAAAATAAATAATTTTTTTTTTATTAATAATAATTATACACAAAGAACTAAAAGAAAAATGAAATGTTTATATAGATAGATGACTCGAATTAATAAATTTGAATTCAGAGATTTTGAAATATTTTCATCAAAGGAATGTCAAATGCAGCTTATTTTATTTATAAAGGATACAATTTAATTTCTTCAGGTGAAGCCCATTTAATTATTCCTCGTATTATCTCTTTCTCTCTCTCTCTCTCTATATATATATTTATCAAATATATGAAATAATTATTTTACATGAGAATTTTGAGAATAATCAATGAAATATTTTACTCACTAATTGTAATAATTAATTTTGTGTATTTTATTATGTAAATAATAAAACAAATAAAAGCAAAAAAAAAATAAAATAAAATAATGAAATTATCGAAATTTTAATCATGTTAATAATGTTTACGGAAAATACTATTAATACATGTAAATATGTATTTGAATATAGATTCTTTGGATAATATCGTTTTATTATTATTTATTATTATTTATTATTATTATTATTTAATAATAATTAAATAATAATCATTATTTATTATTATTATTAAATAATAATTATATAATGAAAATTTTTATAAGAATTGTGTTCACAAAAATATTTTCCTCAAACGAAAAACTTGAATATGCATCGCAGGTTCTTTTTTTGAAATAAATTTCTATTAGTAAATTTATCTGAGAAGCTTTTTACGAACACAAAAAGAAACTTTGCGCTGGACTTTTGCTGCTCTTCTTTGACATTTTGGTGCTTTTTTCCTTTTCTTTCCCTTTGATATTTTCAAGTACACACTACCAAGTACCTTTAAACCATTGCTCTTATCTTTTTTTTCCTTTTTTTTTTGCTATTACAGAAAAAATGCAGATTACTACCTACTTTTTCTTTATTCATTTTTTCTTTCTTTCTTTCTTTCTTTCTTAGAAATGAAAAATCTCAAAAAAAAAATTATTTAAAAAAAGTGGAAAAATTTTGCATATTTATTGTTCAAAATATAAAAATAATAAAATGATAATATAATATTAATATAAATATATAAAAATATGTATTAAAGAAATAAAGAGAAAAATAAATAATTCAAAAAAAAAATTTTGAAAATTATATCGATTTTGGAATAATTTAAAGTTTTATGAACGATGATAATCCACAAGAATATATATATATATATATATATGTATATAAATATATATATATAAAATATATACATATAAATAAATGGCATATAATAAAGGAGAAAAGAAAATATGTTTTTTATGAGGTGCTCCTCCCTTTTACAACTGTGGTCCAAAGAGTTGGGAAGAAACTGCCAAGAGGCATTTCGAACAACTCTCACAGTAGGAGTGAATCCAAATATAATGAGTTCGTCTTCTTCCACCAACGAGAACGGACAAAGATAACGCGCGACAAGAATAACGGGGAGACATCCTTTAGCGCCATTTTCATGCAAATACGCAGTAGATTACGAGCTCTTGTGTCTTGAGATTATTCTCATTGGGTCTTTCCGCTACTACCTATAAATCTCTATTTTTATTTGTCTGAACATTATTCAACAAACGGTTGCAAAAAAAAAGCAATTTTTTTGCCCTTCTAAAAATATGCCAAAATTTTTCATACAAATAATATAATTTTTTTGACGCTACATAAAAAAAGAAATTTTTTCATAAAAGGAGGAAAATTTTATTTTCTAAAAATTTCTATTAGAATTAAAAAAACAAAAAATTTTGCAAAAATTCAAAGCTTAACAGTTTTCTTGTGTGTATCAAATTGATACAAGAATTAAGATCAACTCATGCAACGTTTTGATTCGATATATAAGGTATCAAATTGATCCAAATAATTATCAATAATTTATTTATTATAAATGAACAAAATTTAAGCAATGCACGCTTGATAAATATTTCTAATGCGTTGTCAATTAATAATTTCCTATTACACAATATCATAATCGACATATATGACATTTGTAAACAAACAGGGTTGGGAAACAAGAGCCCAAAATATATTTGTCGAAAGTAGAGTTGGGTAGGATTGAAATTCGCTTTGGACGAATATATTTTGGGCTATTGTTTCCCAACCCTGTTTGTATACAAATGTCATATATGTCGATTATGATATTGTGTAATAGGAAATTATTAATTGCATTAATTTTGCCAACGCATTAGAAATATTTATCAAGCGTGCATTGCTTAAATTTTTTTTCATTTATAATAAATAAATTATTGATAATTATTTGAACCATAAAAATAATTAAAAATTTTCAAGTGATGTGATTGTGAACGTAACTTAAATTTTATGTGATAAAGGTTAGTGTATTTCATTTTATTTCCAAATAAACTTTTTCTTATTTAATTGCTCGCAATTTGTAAGTTTTCGCTTCTCTCTTTCTTAAAATTCATAATAAAAGTATTTTTAATATCTGAATATTCAGTGCAGTGAATAAATTAATTAATAAAATTGTCAATAAGAGCATGCGCCAGCCATGACAGTTATAATTTGATACCAATTTAGGTATCAACAAATGATCCCATATTTTGGATCATTTCTTGAAAATTATTCAAATATTTGGAATCAATTTGATACCTTTTATCGAATCAAAACGTTGCATTCCAAAATGATACCATCAAGTTTACAGTGAATTTCTAACATGGGATTGTTATACAAAAAAATTAATAATAGCAGCTACTTTGTCAGGGAGAATTTAAACTGCTTCCAAGAGTTCTTTTAGTGAATTAATTATTCTCGATTATTTAGTTGTTAAAGTCCGCCTTTGCTCTTTTTATATTTATATATATATATATTCTCGACTAACGTATTTATCGCTTTCCTGAGCAAATTAATTGTAGCCATTAATCAAATCATTCGGAACCCATAATCCAATAAAGTGGCTAATTAACGGTATACGAAAGGACAACTTTATACTATATATATATATGTATTATATACATTATATAAAATTTTTGCAATAAGGTCTTTAAAATACATTTTATAATACTTGAGGGACAATTACTTCTTTTTTTTTTTGATAAAATTTATTTCATTTCAAAAAGCTCGTGAAAATTAATTCCTGCCACGAGAGACATATTTCTTTGCAGAGTGTAATTAGTTCACTTGAAATTGTGTGATGTGAATTTGCATACCTAGCTTAAATGAAACTGTTTTCAATCAAAATGAAATATTTCCAAAATGTTTTCGAGAGACTCGCTTGCAGGCATTCAAAAGTGAATATTAAATTTCAAAAGTTATTGCATTTTTTTTTTTTTTTAAATATTTAAATAAATGACATGAAATTTAGTATTTTTAGAAGATAAATTTTAATTTCTCTAAAAATAATTATTTATAATACTTCATAATTATTTTTAGAAAATTTTTTAAGAATATTTTTAAAAATTAATTATTACTAAAAGAGTAAGTGTTTTACAAACAATATAATGTAGAAATAAAATGTGCGAGCGTAAAAAAAAAGTAATTTCCAGAAAAGTTTTTAACGCGAGTGAAAAAGGGGTTTTTTTTTTTTTTAAAGATTCGGAAAAAGTTAAATTTATATTTGTACAGTAGAACTCTCGCGAATAGTCGCAAGTTAGTTAAAAGTGTCGGGGATCTCCTTGGAAAATAAAGTTGAAGCACACTGAATAGAATTTCATTGAAAGCATAAAAAAGAGGTCGCGATTCCTCTCCCCAGTTATTTACAGACCTAATCTTGCAAAAAAAAGAAAAAAAAAAGAGTTGTGAAAAGAAAAGTTGTCGAACCATTCATTTAAAAAAGATTGATTCTGATTATTTACAAAACGGAGGAAGGGGAAAAGAAAAGTTATATGTAAACATTATTCTCGAGGAAAAAAAAAAAATATATATTGTTCAAAGTTTCATACTGAAAATCATGGAAAGGTTCAAAGTTAAAGTTAAGGACTACAGAAGCAGCTGACATGGTTCTCGAAATATATATATATACACAGAAACTTACCGTTTGGTAGCTTCCAAGTCTATAACGTGCCCGTTCCTCTTCCATTGCAAGGTAGGTTCCGGATGGCCTCGAGGCGGTCCGCACTCTAGCAAAGCAGTTTCACCAGTCGCGACCCTCGTGTTCTGAGGTTCCACACGAAACTCGTCCCTCAGCACTGAAACAATCGATACGCAAACTGGTTAGAAAGGTACCAACTACCAATTAACTTTGTGACCAAGTTTGAGATCAACCTTCACGATCAAAACTTCTTGACTCAACCAGAGTTAATTACATTTACATATACTTTATGCAAAAAGGAGTGGGGGGTTGCGATGAGGGAGGAAAGAGAGAGAGAGAGAGAGCAGTCCGCAACTTTGCTCAAAAAAAAAAATTTTCTAGACATTTCGTACAAAAAAAGTTAAAAAAAAAAAATTTACACGGATATTAACTTTTTACTTTTAAAAATTTATGCGCAAAACAGAAATTATTCTCTGTCACTAATTATTTCAAATTCTGATAGTGAGAATAAAAATTATTTTTCATTTTATCTGATATCAAATAGTGAACAAAATCGTTTATCAATTTTAAATCTTCCCCGCCGGTAGGTAATCGATATATAGAAATATCGAACGCGAAGAAGCGACATAACCTCAATTTTTATATTTGCCTTCGACTACTGTGTCAATTTTTAACATGCTATTAAAAACGATAATAACTATAAAAAAATAATAATATTAAATTAAATATCACTAGTAAATTAATTAATATACAATATTTAGAAACTGATACAGTTGAAACAAAATTGCATAATATATTTTCACAGAAAATTATAAGGTATTAATATAAGCTGCAACGCTTATTTTAATGCCTTTTAATTTTCTGTGTTTCTCATTTTTCTCAATATTTTACTTTCTAGAAAACTAACCTCAAATTTGCTTTATTGATTACAAATTTTATAAATATGAAGAAATTGTTAAATAATTATATTTTAAAAGCATTTTTTGTACATTAAATCTGAATAATAAAGTTTGTGATAATATTAATAAATATATTATCATCACGTATGGCTGTATCTATATTTCAATCGCATTTTGTATAGTAAGAGTACAAATAATTCTGGCAGTATTAAGCAGTTATTTCTATCAGTGTAATACTTAATCGAAATTAAAAAATAATCAAATTCCCCGAATTTTTTTGGTTCTAGGGTAAATGCACCAATTACGGCGCGTTCATAAAAAAATAACTATTATTACTATTATATTTAATATAACTGTTGCCAAATGATTAAAAAAAATTATTTCAATCTTTTTTTGATACAATTACTTATAAAGATGCACATTTAAATAATTATTAATTTAATTATTTGAGATCAAATTTTTTTCTGCGCCGCAATTGAAACATTTTTAATATTTCCATTGGCTCTAATTTTGGCGGGTAAAGTATCTTCAAAATACATACGTATACAGAAAATTATAAGGTATTAAAATAAGCTGCAACGCTTATTATTTTATTCCAATTTTGCTTATTTTAATACCAAAATGGATTAAAATAAGCAAAATTGGATTAAAATAATAAACATTGCAGCTTATTTTAATACCTTATAATTTTCTGTTTAATTTTGGTCACCGAAACTGATACAAATGCGCCGCAATAGAAAATTATGGTATTAGTTTTAATTTCTCATATTTGTTTAAATAATCGATTTTTATAAAGTTAAAATTTTTTTAAAACCTTAATAACATAAGCTTTTAGTTTAATAAGTCTTAAATTAAGTTTATAAAATAGAAATGTCGAATTTTCTATTTCAAAAGTATTTTGATTCGAATCGCGCCGCAATTAGTGCATTTACCCTATAAATGTTGTTTGGGTTGAAAATTTTTGCACAACGAAAGCATAACGATTATGGTAATATAATCTTGGAATTATAAATCTTTTCGACTTTAGATTATAAAATATATCTTGTATTTTAAAACAATAAAAGCCGGATTAGATTATAAAGATTCGCAGATTAAATTCCAAATTCAGTATGAAAGAGTAGAATGTAGAAATTTAGTCAAAAAAAAAGGGTAAAATTACAAATTCAGTACATGAGAAAGGTGTTAATCTGATTTTCACGAACAGAGAGCGAATTTCAACTATATATACTCTATTCAACCGAATAAGGTGACAATAAATATCCTCAAGTTTCTCCAATAGACTTGAGGAGAGATTTTCAAGTAAAATTTGTATCCTATTTCACCCAAAATGGACTTAAATTCACCGGCAATTCTTGTTATAGGTTCTAAAAAGGGGATTGCGAATACGATCCGAATTCTTGGTCGTATTTCTCTCTCACTTGCTTCCGTACTTGGCTTGATAAGGTATAAGGTAAGGTCTCCAGTGAGAAATTTATTGAGGAGAGTGAGAGAGAGAGAGAGAGAAAGGGAAAATGAAAAGGGTCGGCCAGAGCAGTTAGGTTCCAGGTCGTTTAGGATATATCCCTCTATTGTAACAAGAACGATATGCATGAACGCAAAATAGATGGATAAGAATTGGTTGATGTATATATATATATATCGTCGACTGACTTTGACATAAATCAATTGTTCCCTCTCTCATCCAAGACGACATTTCTCGGATTTTTTTTTTCTTCTTTCGCCTTTTCCGCAACCACCGCACATGTTTAGCATAACTGCTCTTGAGTTTCGCAAAACCACTTTTCGGTACATTTATCGCCTTTTTCAAAACCTTGCCTGCGCATTACCATTTATCACTTCTTTAAGAAAATATTTCGAATTCCTTGTTGAAGCTATATATATAGGTAAAAACAAACGTTATTCTTCCTACTAACCTAAAGGATTTGAATTTGATTTCTATTTATAATTTTGAATTTTAAGTAAACTTTTAATGGTTATGAATTTTCACATGATGGTTACATTCCTTGTGAACCGCGAAAAGAATTTTACTAAAGCCGATTAACGAGTCTTTCAACCGTACTAATGCCACGAGATGAAAAGTGTAGGAAAGTGGAAGAGGATTTAATGTACTTTGAAAAGTTTCCGTGGCACTATATATATATATATATATATAAGGAAAATGTGAGGCTCTCTCTATCGTTTTCTTATTGCGTCAAATGGGTTCGCAATTATATTTAACGTACTGCCTACATTTTTCCTTAAAAATGAAAATATGTCCCACTTTTCTCTGTCTTTTTTTATTCTAATTATCCTATTTTTCCAATTTTTATTATTATTTACAATGGATTTTTTTTTTAATAACAGAGGAAGAGTTTTTATTAGCTTGTTTGTTTTTTAGGGTGAAACGACGAGCGAACCCTAAAGATGATATTTGAATTTTTTGTTTCAATTTATTCATTGAAAACAATGAATACATTTTACGAATATAAGAAAAACAATTTCCTTGCGGCTAAAATTATTTTTTCCCTGTGAATATATTTGGGTGCTATAAAATATTTTTCTCATTTGCCAAAACGGACTTTTTTTTTCATTCCTTTTGTATTGATAATTTCTGTATTGTTTTCTCTCTGTATTAATTAATTTCGTTGATAATATTAAAATTAATTTTAATAATAATTTAGTAATTTTAATGAGAAATTAAAAATTAGAAATAAAATTGAATTATATCTTTAAAGAAAAGTGAATTGCAAGTTCTTGTCGGTTGAACCGTTTGTCGCACACTTGTCAACATTATCTGACACCCTTTTAATCTCGAGGTGCAACCAGAGGGCTTGAAATAAGATCCGAACGTGAATGCACATCGAATGCACTTTTTCTCTCTCTCTCTCTCTCTCTTTTCTATATATATAAAGAATTTTCAAGATATATCGAAAGGCTTTAAATCAATGTCCGAGTCAGAAAATAACTGTGGCACACGAGGGAGATAAAGACAGTGAAAACCGAATGAAATGAAAGTTAAAGAAGGACAGGAGACATGTCGTTGCAAAGAGCGGAGCATAAAACGTTATATTCTCGAAGCAAAGAGAGAGTACAATGGGGGCCTTTCATTTAGAAATTGGATCTTAGGATCTCCCTTTTGCTCTTGGGCGCAATGACTCTGTCTTTGTTAGATGAATCGAGAGGATTTATATATATAATATTGATTCCAAAGAGGATGTGGTCAAGATGAAGAAATCGTGATGTTTGTCAAAGTTAAAAATTTTATGTAATAGAGAAATATATTTTCTCATGTAAATATATATATATATATATTGTAATTTTAGTATTACTAGGTTAATTTAAAAGTACTGATTTTGGTAATTGATACCAAAAGTACCAAAAATAAAAATTTGGATAATTTCACAGAAAATTAAAAGGAATTAAAATAAGCTGCAACGCTTCTTATTTTAATCCAATTTTGCTTATTTTAATCCATTTTGGTATTAAAATAAGCAAAATTGGATTAAAATAAGAAGCGTTGCAGCTTATTTTAATGCCTTTTAATTTTCTGTGTTTAGTATCGAAAATAATGATTAAAATTAATTTTGTAAAGTAAGGGTTATTGAGATTTCTCAGTGGCTCTTTCTCTCTCTCTCACTCTCTCAACGACATGCGGAAACTCTCAACAATCGTTTGAGATTACTTTTTGACCTTTTGATCTCTCTCTCTCTTTCTTTCTTCAGTTTCTTCGAACGAGAGCATGCATCTCTTTTAAAAGTCGTCGTCGTCTGTTAATTAAGACGTTCTTCCCGACTTTAAGATGGTAATTATTATTTCTGTCGACTCAACTCGGCGAATTAACTCTTCGTGTTGTCTCTTTCCGCGACACGTTCCCAAGGTCTCTTTTCATTTTAGCTGCGTTTTTTTTTATGCACGCGTTTACAGTCATCAACATTGTATATATATATATGCGCCGAGATGTATTTAAAAGTTTATGGGTTTTTTGATATTATAAAATATGGTTATATGATATAATATGTATATCCTTTCATTTATAAACAAGAATCGGTTTGTCTTCTAATAAAAAAAAAAAAAAAATAGCAAGATTCAATTAAAAAAAAAATGTATTTTATATTTATGGAAATGATTAAATTTAATATCAATTGAAATGATTTCACTTATTTTGTATCGTTTCATTCATTTACAAATTGTTACTTTGACCTTTTTCTTGTGGTTATAAAATTTAATTTCTATTTATTGAAAACTTAATTTATCGATATGATTTATTATTAAAAATTAT